GCAAAGAATTTATTTAGCTTCTCTGCAATGGCCTTGTCTTCCTTGAGTGCTCCTTTAGCATCTTGATCATCCAGTAGCCCCACTGATTGTTTGGCAGGCTTCCCAGTTCTGACGTACTTAAAAATGTTTTGCTGTCAGTTTTTGTGTCTTTAGGTAGTTGCTCTTCAAATTCTTTCTTGGCCTGCCTTATTATACTTTTATTTTTGACTTTCCAGAGTTTATGCTCCTTTCTATTTTCCTCAGTTAGATTTGACTTCAAATATTTTAAAGATGTCTTTTTGTCTCTAACTGCTTCTTTTACTCTGTTGTTTAGCCATGGTGACTTTTTTTGTTCCTCTTACTGTTTTTTTTTTAAATTTAGGATATGCATTTAGTTTGAGCCTCTATTATGTTGTTTTTAAATATTCTCCTTGCAGTTTGCAGGCATTTAACCTGTGTGAGTGTTCCTTTTAATTTGTTTCCACATTTTTGCGTAGTTCCTCTTTTTGAAGATAAATGCTACTGTGGCGGGTTTCCTTGGCATGTTTCCCCCTACAACGATGTTAAATTTAATTACATTAACTTCTCTGCAACGGCCTTGTCTTCCTCTCATTATTATCATTATTATCGAGTGGTTCAGATGTGACCTGTCTCTCCTTAGTCTGGTGTGTGATCCCACTTTTCCATTGCAGGGTGGCCAAATAGTATACTCTCCCCTGGCTGACGTCTAAATTTTATCTGTCTTTCGTAGTCTTTGTTTATGCTGCCCCTTTAGGTTTTCTATATTAAGCGTTTAATAAAACATGTATATATGATCTAGCATGATTTTCCTACAGTCACCACTCATTCTCCCCTTTCTGTCCCTCTTTACCACCCCACCTCTTTTCTCTGTATTTTGGTTCTAAAGAGTCCCCCATCTGAGCTTGTCAAGCCCAGTCAGAACTAGAATTTAAATGAGACAGCCAGCTTGAGCAGCTGTTGCTAAAAGTTCTGTGAAAATCTCTGTAGAAATCTCTATAACCACAAAATTAGGCATGCTTCAGAATAGATTGTAAACTGAATTTTTTCTTCTGATCATTATAAACTACTTGTAAAAGATTGATCCCCATCTACTCACTCTTTTTGTTTTAGAGTGGATAGCAAGCATAATTTCTCTTTAAAGATAATATTGGGTCCTTGGCATTTGAAATGAATGGAAATATACACTTTTAAAAATGTAAGCTACAATAGAATGCACAACCCCCTTTCCCCCACTTTAAAAGAATGTTAAGGTTACAAAGTCAAACACTCAAAGGTTAGGGAATGTCAAAGTTAAGGCTGCCTGGGCAATTAATTTTCCTTCCTTGTGCATATGCATTACAATACCATGTTTAATTATGAGATCACATAATTTTTCCACAGGACCATTCCCCCTAACTCCCCTGGCTCTTCAACTGATACCAATCTCTTCTACAGTTTCCATTCCCATGCCCCAACCTCCTTCCCAGTTTCCCCACCCTGCTCCCAGTCCCAGTCTCCTTGCCTAATCAATCCCAATATCTCCTACACCCCAGCTTCAAATCCTACTTTCTCCTCCAAGCTTCTTGTTCCAATCTACTCCCGCAGCCCCCTTTCCCCTATTGTCTCCATTGCATTCAAGTCAAGGTGTTTTCTCCTCCTCATGGCCTGGGAGCCAGAAAAGATATTGAGAGGACAGGAGAGACAGCTTCTCTGCTCTCCGTTTCTGGTGCCTGGTGCCACAGTGATCCACAGCAGCCAGGGGGAGCACCTGTAGGAACAGCCCTACTCAGGCACTGCAGCCTGAGGCTGGAGCATACTCAGTACAGATGGAATTTTTGGAAAATTTAGCTGCCAAATGCTAACAAATCTTTACTGAGCCTGTGAGAATTGACATTTTTAGAGGCTTATAAGTTATAACTTGGTCAAACTTGGGCAGTTTTTCACAGGAACAGCAAAAGGAACATCCCTGACACCAGGGCAATTCTCTTGCCAATTTCAAGTTTCCGTTCCAAGGAATGGTGGTACTAGAGGTTTTCAATGAAAAGGTTGTATAGATTTTTGTAACGTGGTCTAAACAACATATTTTCCCATAATCTTGCTTTTGGAAATGGCTGAACCTTTTTTGGTGAAACTTTCCAAAAATATTCAACCCAAGGCAGATAATCAGCATGGGAAATTGCCAAATTTTAACCATTCAGGCTGAAAAGTTACAGACAACTGAAAACAGAGTCTAACAATGGGAAGTATTGGGCAATCAAATCTAGAGAGAGCTATCGGCTCTGTGTATAACAGAGAATATTTTCTCTAATGGATGACCTGCATCGATGAATTGATTGTTTACATCTAATTTTTTTGGTACAAGAAATGTTTGTAGCACCCCCTCTCCACCCTGTTACCTTCTTTAATGCCAATCTGCTTACAGGTATTGATGGATAGGTCTGGATTCTTCTGGATCCCACCACCCACTCAGCAGGGTGTATCTTCTTTATTTTTTCTTATGAATTTATTTGGCGGTGCCTCCACCCCCCTCACTCCTTCCTGGCAGGGTCAGCAGGGCAGCTTAGGAGGAAAATTCTAACCACGGGGTAATCCCCACTTACTTGCCAGATAGTTGGAGACTTCCAAGAAATAACACAAACACATACAATATATTCAACACAATAATTATATTGAACAGGAGACAAATATAACATAACAGAGTAAAACACTATTTTTATGGTCAACAGTGCCCATGCTGATAATACCCATGACTTTCCCCAGTCACGTGACCTGATGTAGCAGATATAAGATTAGTGTCCCGTTGGTACGTGTACTTTGTTGGGGTCCTTGATGATCTATGACCACAAAATTCTTCTCTGCAGTAGTTTAGCAGTGTGGCTGACTGGGTTCAGTACAGCCCAAAGGACTCACAAGTAGGTGCAGGTGGTAAGTCTCTCCACAGGTTTAATATGCAGCAGGTTATAAAATCCCCAAACTCTTACTCCCTGGCTTGAGGACACAGTTCAGGGAGTAGGGGGTCCCCAAAACAAGTTCCCTGACTGACTAAAAGATGGTGCACTCACAAACTCCATGAATGATCCTCAGGTTCAGAGATGACTCTGGACTCCTCAGTCACTGCAGAGGGGCTGATCTCTGCTGGCAAGGATCCTCTTCAGGCAGGAATCAGGCTGCTTCGGTCCCAGGATTTCCCCTCACCACAAAGGGGTGCAGGGCTCAAGATGCAGATTACACAACTGTACTAAAATCCAAACTGTAGTCTCCTAGCCCGGTGTCCAGACACACACAGCAGGTAGCAGCCCTAGACTAGCAGACAGAGCAGAGCTGACCATGTGATGACTGGTCTCACCTAGGTAGCTGGAGGGCTAACTCAGCCTGACTGGGGAAGTTTCCCAGCAAAACCTCTACAAACTGGGAATCATCAGTGGAGAAGGAAAAACCCAGCTGAGGGATCTTGCTTTCAGGTCCCTAGAGGCCAGTTCTCAGGGGGAACCCTGCATGCAGGCCTGGGACTTACACAGCCAGTCCTGCCCTTGCCCTGGCTGGCTCCAGACTCACTCAAAAATGGCTTCTCCCCTTTCCTGAACTCCCTGGGAAGGACATCTCACTCCCTATTGGTTGCGGGGCAGTCTCTGAGTCTGCCTTGGCTCCCCCTCCCTACCAGGGACAGTGTGCCTCTCCCTGAACTGCCAGCAGACAGAGCCCCAGGAATCTAGGTAATCTCCTTGAGGGTTACACATTGATGACTTATTCAGAGGATATAGCCAATATTCTTAGCAGCATGTATAAACCACAGCCTTAAACCCCTTAGGATCAGCTCAACCTGTCCTACCTCTTTCAGAGATTGAGAACCGTGGGCGTGGAGGTGTCTCTGACATTGGATTTTTGATATCCACACTCAGCAGGCAGGACTTTAGCTTTCAAGGCATAATGTCACTTTTTTAATGAATCATGGTTACCCTGATGCCCTTGATGAACAGTTCCCCCGCCACCAGATTTTTGTTCATCATGCAGTGTAAGGGTTGGTTATGCCTCTCCACCTCAGGGATTGCTTCGGTGTAATGTTTCATGTGTATTAGTCTGTGAATCCCTTTGGGAGCCTTTGTAATTAATTGTGCCATACAGTGTAAAAGTACAATGTAAAATGTCTGATTGATTATGATGATTGTTTATTAGTAGGGCCCTACCAAAGTCATGGTTCATTTTGGTCAATTTCACAATCATAGGATTTAAAAAATAGTAAATTTCATGATTTCAGCAATTTAAATCTGAAATTTCATGGTGTCGTAATTGTAGGGGTCCTGACACAAAAAGGAGTTGTGTGTGTATGGGAGGGTGTCGCAAGGTTATTGTAGAGGGGTTACAGTACTGCTACCCTTACTTTTGTGCTGCTGCTAGTGGTGACGCTGCCTTCAGATCTGGGCAGCTGGAGAGCAGCGGCTGCTGGTCGGGACCCAAGCTCTGAAGGCAGAGCCGCTGCCAGTAGCAGTGCAGAAGTAAGGGTGGCAATACACCATACCATGCCACCCTTACTTCTGCGCTGCTCCTGCAGAGCTGGGCCCTCAGTCAGCAGCTGCCACTCTCTGGCTGCCCAGATCTGAAGGCAGCAGCACAGAAGTAAGGGTGACATGGTATGGTATTGCCAACCTTACTGCTGCGCTGGTGCTGGCGGGGCGCTGCCTTCAGAGCTGGGTGCCCAGCCAACAGCTGCTGCTCTCCAGCCATGCAGCTCTGAAGGCAGCACAGAAGTAAGGCTGGCAATATTGTGACCCCCTAAAATAACCTTGCGACCCCCCCTGCAACTCCCTTTTGGGTCAGGACCCACAGTTTGAGAAATGCTAGTCTTCCCTGTGAAATCTGTATAGTATAGGGTAAAAGCACACAAAAGACCAGATTTCATGGGGGGAGACTAGATTTCACAGTCCATGATGCATTTTTAATGGCCATGAATTTGGTAGGGCCCTACTTATTAATGTAAAGTACTTTATGGTTCTGATTTCCTTTTTCTTTCCTTTTCTTTGCAGTTCATTGCTTTTGCCTCTTTATTCTTCATCCTAGTTTCAATTACAACCTTTTGTTTGGAAACCCATGAGGCTTTCAATACTATTATAAACAAAACCGAGCATGCCATCAATGGCACAGAGGTGGTTCTACAGTATGAAATTGAGACAGATCCTGCTCTGACGTATGTGGAAGGAGTCTGCGTGGTGTGGTTTACATTTGAATTTTTAGTCCGTGTTGTTTTTTCACCCAATAAACTTGAATTCATCAAAAATCTCTTGAATATCATTGACTTTGTGGCCATTCTGCCCTTTTACCTAGAGGTGGGCCTGAGTGGGCTCTCCTCCAAAGCTGCTAAGGATGTGCTTGGCTTCCTCAGGGTGGTGAGGTTTGTGAGAATCCTGCGAATCTTCAAACTCACCCGGCACTTTGTAGGCCTCAGAGTGCTGGGCCACACACTCCGAGCTAGCACCAATGAGTTTTTGCTGCTGATAATATTCCTGGCACTAGGTGTGTTGATATTTGCCACCATGATCTACTATGCTGAGCGAGTAGGGGCCCAGCCCAATGACCCATCTGCTAGTCATCACACACAGTTCAAAAATATCCCCATTGGCTTCTGGTGGGCTGTGGTCACCATGACTACCCTTGGGTATGGGGACATGTATCCTCAGACTTGGTCAGGCATGTTAGTGGGTGCTCTGTGTGCTCTCGCTGGGGTGCTGACCATAGCCATGCCCGTGCCTGTCATTGTCAACAATTTTGGAATGTACTACTCCCTGGCAATGGCGAAGCAGAAACTTCCAAGAAAGAGGAAGAAGCACATCCCTCCTGCTCCTCAGGTGAGCTCCCCTACCTTTTGCAAGACAGACTTGAATATGGCCTGCAATAGCACACAGGGAGATGTCTGCCTCGGCAAAGACAACCGGTTGATGGAACACAACAGATCAGGTAGGACACAATCTCAAATGCATGTCCTCTAAATACTTTATAGACCAGTATGTTTGGTAGGTGTCAAAAAGCATTAAATCTTTCTGCAACTAAAAGATGTAGTTCCCTCCCCTCTCCCTTCACTCCAGTGTTTGCGTGTGTCAGTCTTGTAGATGGCAAAATAGTTACAATGACATTCCCAGGTCTGTGCATAGCTGGTCTATACAGTTTGCTTGCTATGTTGTGAATGCTTTTCTGCTGATGACATCGATCATTTATTTTGCTTGTTGTTCGTTTCATTGTACTGATGTTCTTTTGTTTTCCTGCATGATTGTGACTATCTGAACAGCTACTGTGTTCCACACCATTGAACTCCATGCTGTTCTGCTGGGTGTTTGTCTCTTGTGTCAGCTTTGCCTATGGCATATAGTGGCATATTATGTAAGATGCAATACAAGAGGAAGTCATTAAAAGAAACAGGTGCTTTACCTTGTAAAGGACAGCACCCAACGGAAGAATATAGAAAGCTGGCTTCTAGCTTTCAGATTTCTTTCCATTCAACACTCCAATTCCCTGGCAAGAAGTACTTCCTACATCTGTGTTATATGGGACATCACATTGTGTTTTTACTGTTATTTTGATAATATGACCGATATTAAGTTAAAGTAAAACTTCTTGGGAAAAACTGAAAACGGCAATCATCAGCACCACTCTAGATGTCATTTCCCAGCACACACTGAATATCTTTTGAGATTAAAGAACAAAGTTAAGTAGCATTTAGTTTAATTACTATAGATTTGCAGTCACAAGTAGGACCGGTCAGAAAGCAAGAATTCCGTGTTGCACAAAAGTTTGAGCCCTAGCCACTGGGTTTTAGAGTTAGTCTCAATCTCTCTTGTTGGAGCTGTTCCACTTTGTACAAATAATTAAATATTCATTGGGAAAAATAAAGAGATTGACTCTGTAGCCTGATGGTTAAAGCACTCACATGGCATGTAGGAGACCCAGTTTCAAGTTCCTGATCCAAATTAGGCAGAGCAGGGACTTGAACCAGGATCACCTATATTCCCTGCAAGTGCCCTAACTACATGGCTATTGAGTATTCTGGAGTTGGGCTCTTTCCAGAAATTCCATCGTGGACCTGAAAAACATTCCAGATGAAAGTTTAGTTGAAATCGACAAATTTCTGAAAAAGTTTAGTTTTCAATGAATCAGCATTTTCTGGCAGAAAAAAAAAATCTCAAAAAAATCCTGACCAGTTCTAGTCACCAGGCATTTTTTTCAAATCTGTTAACTCTTATGCTGAACATGGCTTTATTGCAAAGCTCCCATATAAATCATTAGGCTCCTTTTGTAAAGTCAATAAGTAATAATAATGCAAAAACATGCCTTTCAGTGTTGGAGTAGCTGGATTTTGCTCTTTAGAGGGAAGAAGCTGAAAATTGTGACTGTGAAAAGTATCTTAATTCAGTTCTGACATTACACCACTGCTTAGTCTTAGGTTAAAAGAAGATCAATTAAAGAGAGAGTTCTGAGAACTCTGAGAGAGTTCTCAAGCAAAGGTAACACAGATTTTTTTAAAATTCTAAAGATATCAAAAAAGGGAGAGAAACTTTCAGATGACTGTGTGTTGTGGGTGGAATATAGTTAGTTTTACAGTGCTTGACTGATACACATTCTCAGACAGCATCTTCAAAGTGTTAACGACAACAGCTTTTCTGTGTCATCAAGTCCTGCTAAAGGCATTCCAGAAGAGAGGAGGCTCTGTGTGACAGCGCAAAGAGATAGTTCTAGTGAGTCTGCAGATTTATTTACAAGGTGTTATAATCCTTGAGGTTAGAGAAAAAAATCTTAAAGTGATCTACTTCTGGGTTTTTTTTCTCGCTCTCTCTGATAGCGCCACCATTTGTGCTCCATTTCTAACTTAATTTCTTGTGTAGTTATTGGGATTGTTGTGCATAACTTCAAGGTAGAATATTGCCATTTGTGGCCCCAATTCAGGAAAACACGTAAGCACATGGTTAAGTGCTTTCCTTAATAGGGATGGTTTCTTGAATTGGGTCCTGAAATACTACATATTTCTTGTTTAAAAAAAGGGTCTTTTGGAAAAACAAAAGTGGGCGATGTAGAGATTCTATTGCGTGCTGAATCTTAACCACACTGACTAAGGACCGCATTTAGCCCTCAGGTATATATGATTGATTTCAATGGGAGTTACATTTAATGTTAATTGTGCATTTCAGAGCAGCTTTGGCCCTAAACATTTATCATTTAATTCCTATATCAAAAGTTCTTTTAAAAACTATTCTACAGCAAAATGATCAACATAACTTAATTTTTAATAAAGAAGATAGTCAAAGAGATTAACACAATATTAAAACAATTAAGAAAGACTACTGTTGGAAAGGTTAGTGTCTATAAAGGCACGTAATTCAGTAGAATAGCCTTTTATCTGATGGCATTTTATTTTATGTTAAGCTAGCTGAACATTAGGAGATATCTCAAATAGAGCTGGGATATTCAAAAGATGATTTGTTCTTGAATAAAACATTTACTTTTGCCCTTTTGCTGAATTTTGTAGTGATTAATGATGAACTGCAATCTTTTTCTTTATTCTTATCATACATTATTACTGTTTTTTGTACTTGAGTGATGGGAATATCCGGCATTCAACATAAGCTCTTTGTGATGTCTCATTTCCTCATTCATTGTTGTCTGTAAATGGGCATGGTGCTTTAACCAGTGTTATCAGGTGAAGACAGTGCAGGAAGTGAGCAGCCACTCTCACCTGGGGAAAGGCACCTACCAATCAGACGCTCTAGTACCAGAGACAAAAACAGAAGAGGGGGAACATGTTTCCTACTGACAACAGGTGATTACACGTGTGCTACTGATGGAGGGATCAGGAAAGGTATGGACTTCTTTCATTAGATTGTAAAAAGTCACTCAGCAATGTTCTTGTGAAAAGCAAGCTTCAAGTAAAATAAGATGTGAACAACTGCGCTATTAGGAAAGATTGTAAATCAGTTCAATGCTTTTTCTTTCTTTCTTTCTTTCTTTCTTTCTTTCTTTCTTTCTTTCTTTCTTTCTTTCTTTC